CAAACCCGCAAGCAAGAGCCAGGCCCGGGACCACCTGCTACTGTTCAGTCCTGCATTTCCGTGATCCATAGGGGCGGAGTAGGGATCCTTTAACCTTTTGGGTTTAGGGTTTAGGGTTTAGGGTTTAGGGTAACCTTTAACCTTTTGGGGCTTGTATACTCCTACTACAATTCAAAAGGTTAACTTTTTTTGGGCTAGGGTACTCAGCCCCTAAGGATCATCATGATGGGTTCCACGGTAGTGCCCCTTGGTTAAGGGTTTAGGGTCCCCGGTAGTGGTTTAGGGTTTGGAGGGTTTTAGGGTTCAGTCCCTCTTTGCCCTTTGTATTTTGCGGGTTAACGCCAAAGAGAAGGAAAAGTATACCCGTATTGTGACAGGGTTACCGGGGAACCTAGAAGAAGAACCTAAGCACCACACGTTGACATCTAGCCCCATTGTAGGGTCATGCTTTCAGAGTTCATGTGGCTGGCAGAATGCATTAACACCTACACCTGAACCCTAAACCCTCAAGCCCTAAACCCTCTGCGTCCTGATGCGCCCCAAAACTCTATTCCGATTATTGAGGCCCCGATATTGGGGCAGCCTGAACTTGCCTGCTATGACAGAAGAGGGGGTTTGGTTTATACGGGTTCATTGGGTTGTGCGGGTCCCTCGCCGCTAAGTCCCTGAGTGGCAATCCTGATGAGGGTTTAGGGTTTAGAGTGGTTGGCAGGCACACCAGAAGGTGTGGCACGTGCCCGAGAGCAAGTGGCAAGCTCGGCACGGGAAGAGCTTTTTTGCTAACATTTGCGAACCCTGAACTTCAAACCCGGAACCCTAAATCCCAACGCCTATCGCTAGACTCTGCTAGACTCTACAAGCCCAGGTGGCCCCAGGCAGTAGTTCTGGTATTCCGGAGCTTTGACGTTCAGTTCGAGGAGGGAGGAGTTTCAGAACATACAAGGGTGCCTGAAGATAAAGCCCTATAAGCCTTAAACCCCAGGAAAGCCTAAACCCCAAGCCCCACTGTTAGGACCCTGAGCTTGTGACCGTGGACCCCCGATCAATAGACACGCTGAAATCGAAGGCCCTGATATTGGGACTAGCATTATCCCTGAACCGAAAACCCTGACTCTCTAGCATTAATTATTTTAATCCTTATGTCAGGTGAAGGGTTGAGGGTTTGGGGCTTAGGGTGGGGTCAGAGTTTCAGTCAGTTTGCGTGCTCGGAGATCTCCGAGGGCAACTATCCATAGAAGCGCTTGAATACCCTAAACCCTAAACCCTAAACCCTAAACCCTAAACCCTAAACCCTCAGCCTTAAACCCCCTGTGTAATTACCCACATTGTTCCTTATGGGACGCGTCCTCGGGCCCCAGAGTCCATCAGAAGAAGAGTATGAGCATTCCTCAGGGCCTTAAGGTTCTGTATGACCGTTAGGGTTTAGGGTTTAGGGTTTAGGGTTTAGGGTTTAGGGTTTAGGGTTTAGGGTTTAGGGTTTAGGGTTTAGGGTATCGTATAAGCCCGACAGCAGCATCTTAACCCCAAGCCCTACATCATGCGCCTTAAGCTCAAGAATCCAAACCCCAGAACCAAAAATCCTGAACCTTGAACCCTACACCCCCAAAGCAAAATCCCTGAACCCTGAACCGTAAACCCCAGAACCAAAATCCCTGAACCCTAAACCCCCAGAACCAAAATCCCTGAACCCTAAACTCCCAGAACCATCATCCCTGAACCCTGAACTCTAAACGCCCAGAACCATCATCCCTCAACCCTGAACTCTAAACGCCCAGAACCAAATTCCTTGAACCTTGAACCCTAAACCCCCAAAGCAAAATCCCTGAACCCTGAACTCTAAACGCCCAGACCCAAAATCCCTGCCCCTAAACCCCCAGAACCAAAGCCCCTGAACCCTGAACCCTCAAACCCCAGAACAAAAAAAACTCCCTGAACCCTAAACCCTGAAACCCTACACCAGAAATTTTTATTGAAAAAATAAAACTTCAAGCAAAATCCCTGACACACAAACCCCCTAAACCCTAAACCATAATTTTTTTGATTTCAAGCAAAATCCTATTCCTTGAACCTCAACCACAAAGCAGCAAAGTAGCACAGCCCCGACGGATCGCATCGCCCTGTCGCCTACTTGGCCCGAGTTCTTCGTTTGTCTGACAACTTACACGGTTTAGGGTTTAGGGTTTAGGGTTTAGGGTGTCGGGGTTTGGGGGTTTAGGGTTTAGGGGTTAGGG